CGTCAAACGTGCGTAGTTGCTTGACTGTGGTCGGTTCTGTGTAATGAGGAATAACCACCATTTCGTTTTCTGGAAGTCGGATGCCCCGACATCTACAGTGTGTCAGAGAAAATCCAGGGATTCAATATGGTAATATGTTTTAGCCAAGTCGATTTTCTAAAAAGCAGTTGTACCTTTCATAGTAGCTGTTAAATCGTCAATATGATGCAACGGATATCGATCAGGAATGGTTTTCGCATTCAATCGCCGATGGTCACCACTTGGACGCAAGTCGTTGCTCCGATTTTGGGGCACCATATGGAAGGGAGATTCCCCTTAAGCTGTTTAATGGCCAAATGATTCCTACGTCTACCATGTGACTGAATTCGTACTTAGCCAATCTCAGCTTTACGAGAGCTAGTCGTCGCGCTTTCGAGAATACAGGTGGTCCTGAAATCGTGGTGTTATATAGCATTGCTTGGTTACGCATGGCAATTTCAGTCGCGTTTGATATATCTCAGGGTATTTATCGAGTTTAGAACGGTGGTTGAAGGTAGTCGACAGGAAACTCTAGACACGGGTTTCGTGCTACTTGGCACTCGTTAGCAAGGTGTACCTGTAATCTTGAGGAAACTGGTGCTGCCCTGACGGATCCGATCCCATGAAACCCAGCTTCACAGTCAGAGACGTTATCACTGAGCTATCCGGACCGCAGTATCGAGTCACCTAAACTAGTGGCCACATTGCAACTTGGTCGATAGCATTCGATCTGCACTAATAAGGACTTGACACACATTATATTGATCACCACCCAGTGATCAAGCAATTGTGAGTAGTTATCGAGTATTTGTTGGAAGTATAAATCGATTATATGATTGACAGTGACTGGGCACAACCTACAATCACTAAATAAAGTTGAGCAAACAGATTCATTAGTATTTCCATTTACTAACCTCCGTTTTCGCGTGTCGTTGAGTAGATCATGGTGTTGAAGTAGGTCTTTACGAACGATTGGCATAAAAACATCTACAATAACGTAAAACCAGTGAATAGGTTTGAGTAAATCCACGTTAAGATAAATATGTCACTTACCCTTACGTGGTGATCGGTCTCCTATTTGCCACTTGTATGTAAAAAGTACTAGTCTTTAGCCAAAGCCACATGATAAAAACTCATACGAGCGCTGAAGAACATACAGTACGGTTATAAGGGCAACCTGCTTGAGCATCTGGGCTACCTGTTCCTGCCATCTAGATATTTCAACAAGTTATTTTTGTTTGTTTTAATATATCATTATGTTTATTAATCGCATAACCTATCCTGCTGCGTTTCTGAAAAGTGTACAACCTTTCGTTGTCAAAGTTACAAAAAACTCAATAAGAGACAATGTGGTTGCTGGCAATATACAACGAAAAGAATGCACATTATTCAGATGTTCATTCACTGAAGTGCTAACATCTAACTGGTGATCACTCAATATTTATCGCCAGGACCGACCAAGAAGAAAGGAACGGAAACTTGTTGAAATACTTTGCGCTAAGAATTCTACCAGGTCTGTTGTGAGATAGGAACTCACTGAAGACAATGGTGTACGGTAGCGCAACTTCATGGATTGGTTGAAGTTAGACATTAACACCGTTGGATGCCAGCTCGGTGGTCTAATGGTTAAGTGCTCGCGCGCGAAGCCAGTAGGTCCTGGGTTCGAGCCCCGGGTGGTGCGGGGTCGTGGATGCGCACTGTTGAGGAGTCCCATACTAGGACGAAACGGCCGTCCAGTGCTTCCAGGTTTTCAATGGTGGTCTAGCTTCAACTGACTCATGAGTTCAATCTGTGAAAATTCTATATTGTACGAAAAATATAATACTGAATAAAGCAGATAATAATAATAATAAGGGACCTGAATAAATGTAAAAATTCAAGATAGGGAGAAAAAGAAAATAATTACCACTACCGTCCAATAAAATGCTCTGAAGCGATTTTCAGCGCGTTCTTTCCGCTACAGAGATACTGATTTAGTGCGGCAACTGACGAAGTCTCGGTAGCTCGTGAATTTATCGTGTAAGAAAAAATATAAAGGAAGAAATCAATAAACACTGTAATTGTTCCAATTTAACACAGCACCCGACATTTTTCTACTGAAATAAGTTAAGGTATCTCAGCCTATCTTGATAAGGTAGGCCTGGTAGACCTTTTACCATTTTATTCCCTCTTCATTGAACTCGTTCCAGCGTATCTGCCTCATACTTGAAACAAGGACTCGCTGCTTGAAAGTCGGGTAAAATAATCCAAACATTTTTTTCATTCAAACACTAAAAAGACCTACGAATAACCCACAATACTCTACAGCCTTTCGCACCAGCAATCTTATAGTTACTAGTGGTTTTAAGATCACTGCTTACCATGACTTCTAAATCTTTGTAGTTTATTACTTTGACTAATACGAATCGACATATTGTGTAGTGATACGAATCATCACAGTTATTTAATTGCACCACCATACTCTTACTAAAATTCACTTCTAGTGACTATCCGTTCATTCATGCCACAAATGAGTTCAGAACATTCTGTAGTACTATTCTATCTGACGTACTGTGTGAGGGTCGCCAAATTTTTATGTCATCGGCGAAGAGTAGAACGGATGACTTTGCTACGGTTGGTAATTCATCCACATAAAGTAAAAATAGAAGAGGACCGAGGATTGTGCTCTGGGGAACTCCAATTTTTACTATTTTCCTTGATGAGAAAGCTCCCTTACCCTTTGCTTCCTGTCATAGAGAAAGTCACTTACCCAGTTTGTGACCATACATCGGATTCCAAAACTTTCCATTTTTTAACTTAAGACCTAAATGGAAGACCTTATAAAGAACTCTACTTAGATCCATGAAAATCACATCTACAGGAATATTTCGATCTTTTGCCGCGGCCCAATCTTCTCTTGGGATGAGAAAATTTGTCAAACATGATAGGCTTTTCCGAAAACCATGATGTTCCCTGGACAAAAGATTATACCCTTCCACACAGTTTATAATAGCCATCCGAATAATTTTTTCTGTTACTTTTACAACTGCACCGGTTAGACTAACGGGTCTATAGTTACTGACTAAATCTCAATTCTCCGCCTTATACACCGGACTAATTGTTGTATCTTTTCAGTCTCTTAGCAGCCTGGACTGACGCAGAGACATATCAAACGGTACGGCTATAGGTTCAGCAATTACATCCGATATGGCTTTCATAATCCTAGGATGATTATCATCAGGACCACTGGACTTATCAGGTTTGAGATGCTGAAGTAGTGTTAAGACAGTACCTTTCTCAATAACTAAGGGGTCCATCAAGAAGCCGTCACAATCACAATAGTATCATGATGCCACATGTCACCCATAATAGCCTTCATTCCTCACTCATTTTAGCGCCGAACAATACTTATTAGGAAAGCTATTCATAATAGAACAAGAACTAGCTCTACGTGATTCTGATAAGTTATAAAACCTCCTACCCAAAGACATAGTGTTGGTGTTGTCTGTTGAGTCTTGTGGAGGAAGGTTTGATAGCAAATTTACTTCCATTGATACTAAGGATTATTACTCCACGAGTTGCGCTATGGTTGCTCCTACAGTTCAGATTCAGATTTGTGTAGTAAGGACAGAAGGCCTACGGCCTATGTTATTCCTTTTCTAGTATGCTTCTGTGAGTGTCCAGTCTTCTCTTGAAAGTGTCAATTGAAGGTGCGGACACCACTGCTTCAGGTAGCAGGTTCCAAGTATTGATGAGTCGGTGTGAAAACCTGTATGCCACAGGTATTTTGTTCGTTCTTGGATTTTCTACTCGCCTGCTATGTCCTCTGAGGTGCCCCGATCTAGTGGGAAGAAAGAGAGAGAATAAGTTAGGTCCGAAATCATTTCTCAGTAATCTGTACATCAAGATTAGATCTCCCCTTAGTCTGCGATAGGACAGAGTTAATAGGTTCAGTTTTTCAAGTCGCTCTTTATATGATAAACCCTGGAGTTCCGGAATTGCACGTGTAGCTGCCCTCTGTACTTTTTCTAGTATGTCTGAGTCACCTTTTAAACAGGAGCTTGCAGCCTGAACACAGTTCTCTAACCTAGTTCTCACTAAGGATGTGTATACTGTGGTGAACATGGTAGTGTCAAACTTAGTGAATGTCCTTTTTAAAGCCCAGAGGGTTTGAAACCCCTTAACTGCGACCTCCCAGCAATGGGCCGTCGTCTTAAGATCATTGCTCACTGTCACCCCTAGGTCCTTATGAGACCGGACTACGGGTAATGACACATCCCCTATGTTGTACGTATTAACCTTTGAATCCCCCAAGTGCATGTAGACACACTTTTCCGAGTTGACAGGCATCAGCCACTCTTTAGACCAGTTTATCATATTATTTAAGTCCGCCTGAAGAGTAAATGCGTCTTTGTCTCCAGCTATTACTCGCCAAATTTTTACATCGTCAGCGTATAATAACATTGGAGACTGTACTATACTTGTAAGATCATTAACGTACATTATAAAAAGTAAAGGACCTAGGACGGAACCTTGGGGTACTCCACTAAGTACTGGTCTCCAGATAGGGCACTTGGAATTTATTCTTACTTTTTGCCTACGACCTACTAGGAAATCCCTAATCCATTTTAAAAGAGGTCCGGCAATACCAAGGTTTGCCAACTTCAATAACAGTCTATTAGTTGGCACCTTGTCAAAAGCCTTACTGAAGTCTATGTAGACAACATTCACTGAGTTTCCGTTGTCTAGCGCATTAATCCAGAACTCCCTAGCTATAAGGAGGTTCGTTGTACAGGATAGACCCTTTCTAAAACCATGTTGTGCCATGTTCAGCAAGTTATTGGCTACAGTTAATGACCAACTTATCTAGTCCCTCATTTCAGAAGTAAGATTGCAAGAACTATACTTTCCTACTACAAAAATGCATTCCAACTATCCAGATGTAAATTCGAACTAACAAGTAGTTAGCAAATTTTAGCAAACAAAGATTGAGGTTTGAGCTTGGAGTAATTTGTAGCGGGTAGTGTAAACGGTATCAGACAAGTTGCTTGGTTTTTGGTAGCTTGGTTGGCTTCGAGTCTTGTAACTTTAGAGATCTCAGTGATTTCCTGTTCCAATGGCAGATAGTCCTAAGAACTCAGTGAAGTTATGGAATAACTGGAGGGACTCGCTATGTCCTCAAAGCTGCCTGTCTTGATCTATAACTAAGAAAAAGACAGTATTTATCATGTATAAAGTCTTTTTCTAGGTATTCTTCCAATTGTAATTAGATAGCCTCGTAGTCTGCGCCGTGTATAATAAGCCTCGTAATCGCACACTTGACTATCTGTACTTTTTTGAAAACGTCTAATTCACCTTTCAGTCAAGGATCTACAGCATAAAAACAGTCTTTTAGTTCGCGTTTCACTGAGCCTTTATGCATTTTGGTGAAGATGTTTTCACCCATCCAGTTCGTCTGAATAGCCATAGGGTTTTAAACCTTTTATCTCCAATCAGATTACCATGACTACGATTTCTACGTCATCATAAAACAGGACCGACGACACTGGCGTTTCATTCGACTGACCATCCAGCTCGAATGTTTTAGTATTGGCTATGCAAGTTTTGGTTGATGCCTATTAACGTGATTAATTGTTTATTCATGTCCGTCGCAATTTCAGCTGATAGTGATTATATTATCAGGGGAAATTCGGTGTCTTTATTCTTGAATCAACAACCTAGGAACTGTCTAACAATGATTGAAAGGATACTTAGGAAACGAGTCTAGATGTCATATTCCCTCTCTTATGTTAGGAATACTCAAAAGAGATCACAGAATTGAAAACACAAGGGGGAGCAAAGTTATGGTGTCGTTTAGGTTTGCTAACCGAGTAGTCAACTCTTGAGACTTACGTCTGTAAGTTTTGTCGTTGCATGTATCTGAAATTATTCAAGAGAGGTCTACGGTATACAGAACTTTGCGAGAAAAGAGCTAATACAGGTCATCATCCTTCCGTTCCCAATACTCAAATCTGGATCTTAAGGGAATCTTTCTGGATGTACTTTGTTTTGCTTCCCACCTATTTTAGTCGTCAGTCAAACAAGCTTAATAAACGTGGAGTGATTGAAATTCTATTACTGGTAAAGGTGCATTCGTTTCCTCCATTTCATAAGTATGTTACTGAATACACTAGCACCTGTTTATCCTTGTCTTATTTCTTCCCTATTGTGCTTGTGTCTTTACTCTGATGTGTGATAACGTGGTTTTCCCATCACTATATGAGGTGGTCAGAGTGTGCGAGTTCAGTACAATTGGTATACTACATCGTAAAAGTGTAGATCTCCCATGTATTTGTGTGTGATTCTACTCTTGTTTGCAACTTTTCAGTTCTTTCGACACAAGTGTTATACAGCTGTACGCAAGACATGTTTCGTACGAACATTTGTCGAAATTTAGGCGAACAGCTTGGCGAAACTTGGCTACTAAGTCTTTCTGTAGAATTTCGAACCAGACTGCCGGGCGAAACATTACGGTCATCTAAATTCCAGCCGCTGAGATCGTTTCACATGTAATTTTTACCTTTAGGACATGTTTTGGTGTTCCAGATATTTCATTATCGTCAGTTTGTAATTATCCTGGTAGTAGCTTCAAGCGTATTGTTGGAGGAAGCATTTCAAATTCCTAAACGATTGTAACAATTTTGAATGCAAATAAATTGCTTTCGAGAGGTTGTTAAGTTCTGAAATCCCTTACAATTTAGCTAAGGCCGTTTCACAATTGTTAGTCTTGTAGCTATCAATGCCAAGGTTGGACTTGATAGTTTCAAATAAATTTGGCATTGGGTAGTAAGTTAATAGTAAATATCTTTTTGTGATATTCCTTTGTACTACTTAAACTCATGTTAACTTTATTTCGGTTATTTATTTACTCTAAAGAAGTGACTTACATTAATTCACAAAACATCTGAAATACAATTTTCTACACGTTGGGATATCAAAAAATATATTTATTATTTGTTAGTCTTGGCTTTTTAGGTTACAAGCGATAAATAATTGTTTGTCTTTTTTCCCTGGTGTTTCTATTGAGTGTAGCTAGTATATTCTCCCGCTCATCACTTTGTGTCTACAATCATCCGGAACTAGTTAAAGTAACTAAGTTGACGTACATCAGCTAATCGTGTTGGCATTCTTCAGGTTTCACTTCGTCTAGTGATGGCAGGTTATCCTCACCACTTTGTTACTGCTCACCTTGGTTATCCTGGTTATGCTCACCCAACCTTCGTGCCTGCGTCGATTCCTAATCCAGCCAACTCTGTCACCCAGTTATCAGCTGCTCAAATAAATGCAGGATGGGTAGAGCACCATTCTCATGATGGGAGAAAATACTACTATAATACATTCACTCAACAGACGACTTGGGAAAAACCTCAAGAGTTGAAGACTCAGCGTGAGAAAATACTTTGCAACTGTCCATGGAAAGAGTTTAAATCCGAAAACGGTAAACCTTACTATTTTAATGAGAATACAAAACAATCAGTATGGATCAAGCCACAAGAACTGATAGACGCTGAAAACCAAGCAGCCGCCTGTAATTCAGCTGTAAATGCTACGGTCCCCGAACAGCCACCAAGTATCCCCCCAGTCACACCGTGTACACCAGCTACCCCAAAAGATGACGTCAATAAGCCTCCTGAACCTTCGGAAATAGAACGGGCAATGAAGGCAACTTTGGCCTCTTTTGATACGTCAGATACTGGACCGTCATCAATTCCGATTCCACTACCTCCGGAAAAAGATGACAGTGATAAAGATGAAAGTGACGAAGAGAAACCTGGATCCAATCCACATATAACTACATTTTCACCAAATACTCAGACAGTGCCAGAGTATAAGACCCGAGGAGAAATGGCAGAAGGTCTTAGGAGGCTTTTCAGGGATTGCAATGTTCCCGGTGGGGCTACATGGGAGCAAGCACTAAAGTTAATCTCCGGGGATCCTCGTTACTGTATCTTGAGAACGTTCAATGAAAAGAAGCAAATATTTAATGTTTACAAGACTCAAAGATTAAAAGAAGAACGCGAGGAGCAGAGAATAAGAATTAAGAGGGCGAAAGAGGATCTAGAAAAGTATCTTTTGAAATGCAATAAACTACACTCAACTATGTCATACCGTAGAGTAGATCAACTACTGTCGGATACGAAAGAATGGACTGATGTCCCTGATCGAGATCGTCGTGAAATATTTGATGACGTCATTCAAGAGGTAGGTAAACGTGAACGAGAAGAGGCTAAGATTTTGCGTAAAAGGAATATACGAGTATTTAATGAAATCCTTAGTGAGATGCTTGATCTTACATATCGGACGACCTGGAGTGAAGCACAACAAATGCTGCTTGATAATACCAGGTTAGCTAAATATACTTATTTAATTAATTTTCGCCATTAATGTTATGTAATATGCACTTAATTAAATCGAACTGGCAAGAGATTATTACCAAATTCATTTGTGTGCCTTTTTTGTTTTAAAAAGACAGATTTTGCCCTTATTTTAGGGATTGGTGTTTGTTTGTTCTGCAGATGGTACTAATTTGAGTAAATAATCTATGTGTAACTATCAGAACAGTTCTCACACTCTATGCGTATTTGTGGTTTCATATAAGCATGAAAGGAAAACGACACATTGATTAGGAACGCCAGACTTGAAACTGGGAACAAGTTTTTGGATAGTTCTACAGTTTTATTCTCAGTGTTACTACAATAAGCTGTTAAACCCCCAATTGTTTTTTGAACTTGGGTAGTAGGTTACTAAATAGCAAGTAACGTTTATATTAATAGGATAATGAGTAGTAATCGGTATGATATTATATAATTTGTGGTCACAAAATCATATCAATCAAGTTTTCACTGTGCTCACTAAGCTAAATGACATGACATTGTGGCTCACTTTGTTTTGATGCGAAGCTGTGAGAAGTAATTGACAAGATGTCTTGAACCTAGGTTTCGTGCTTGTTGGGATCCCCCAACATATGTTTTTTATTCCTGTGAACATTTTGTTTCTGTCCTAACCATATTCTTTATTTTCAGCCCTTTTACTGTCATTATTGCTGATATTATTTCTACTCCTTCGTTATTCATCCTGTTAATTTCACCACACTGTACTTGTGTGACGTAAAAGCTCGAACTGACACGTACCTAAAATCTTCAAGAAACTGATGTTCCGCCTTACAATAATTCAAAACTGTTTTAACCGATGCTATAGTCATAAGTGTTACAGCTGAGCTGTTTAAATAGAAACTAGAATGTAAAACAGGTGATTGAAATAATCAGTCAATATTTGAGAATGGTAAATAAATCCAGTCGCACCACTGTGACGGAATTTGAGCCTTGTCGCCAAACGTCTCGAGCTATTGATGACGATTATTGTGTAACCTCAACCAGCAAGTTTTCACCTACCGTCAGTAACGTCGTGGAAGATGCCTTAATTTAACCACCGTTAGCTTTTTCCTAATTCCACGTCACCCAAGATTGCAGGTTAGGTGGTGTTTAGACAAGCGCATTTCCTATTGATCTTGATTGATGAAGGTATATATTCTGATCAGTGGACTTGGGATTTTTACTTAGTATGATAGATCTAACCTCAGCAGTGCTCTGTCGTTCCACTGTATTTGGAAATAACTTCAAAGAAACAGTAAAAATCTTTCACACTGCCTATGTCACTGTCATTGGGGGATGTTTGGCAGACGTAGAATAATGTAGAACAAACTGGTTTTCAGTGCAACTACCCCTTGATTGCGAGATAGAAATCCCACTTATACCGTAAACAACTCAGATTAGTAGGAATTATTCTTTTTATGTCCTTAATAAATTTTTTCGTACAACAACCTATCAGTATTGATCAGAATTTCAAGGTAAGTTAACGTGCTCAACTACCTCACTCCCTAAGGTCAAACTACGGGCTAATACTGACTATTTATGGTGTAACATTGTACATTAGGAAGAACATTAATACTCTTCCGATTCGCTTACAATGTTACTTAAGGTGTTCAAGCAGTCGGTTTTTTTCCAGTTTCCATCAAGCGGGACATTGTCATCTGTGTATTCCGGTTTGATAGTTAAATGTGGTGAGGGATCAGTCAAATCTTTGAAACGTCTAACGAATCGAGCTTTAATTTTGAGAGGATGTCTGCCCATTCTGAGTCAATCAATTTAGTTTTCATGTTATTGACATCCACAACTGTTTTCTACTTATCAGCCGAATTTAGGCTAGTAGTCTCGTAATATATCACATTGCTTTATCTGTTCCGACTGTTAGCCTTCTGTGTATTTTTAAATTTACACTAATGCTAGATTTACTGGAGATGTGGATTTGCAAAACTTAGATAAAGAGGATGCCCTTGTCTGTTTTGAAGAGCATATTTGTATGCTTGAGCAAGAGCACGACGAAGATAAAGAACGCGAACGTCGGAGACAAAAAAGGGAACAACGAAAGAATCGAGAAGCATTTATAGTTTTACTTGATGAATTGCACGAACAGAAATTACTCACTTCTATGTCTCTATGGAAAGATCTATACCATATAATAAATAAGTAAGCGATTTTATGCTAATTTTAGTACATTATTTTTCGACTCTGATAATCCAAAACAGTATAGAAATTTATGAAATTTTATGAAAAATAGTAAACCGCACAGGAAAAATCAAGAAATTATTTGCTAGTTTATCCATTCTAGCTAACACCATATGAATAAACACAACGTGCGGGAACCCGTCAACGAAGAAACAAGGTACTAAAGGAAAATGACCAAAACGACAATTAAATGCATAGTGTTATATCCTAGTGAAGATTACATTACGAGTAACGTCTGAGACTTATTAATGGACTCATTATTTATATATTCTCTTGGTATAAATATTCGTTAACTAGATTATGTATATCTATATTCCCCTTGTTATAGGCTTTATTTTGACTTATAATTTATTATTGTACGATTTACGGTTCTTAAGCCATGCTTAGTTTATTGACTACTGCCTCCCACGTTCACAGCCACTTTTTGGCTTTATTGTGTACAAATGTTATTTCCTATTTTATGGTGCGTTGCGGTCTGTTTGGTTGATATATAAACCCAGTATGTCTAAAATAAAAGATTCGATTCGCATAGTGGAAGCTGGTAATGGTGTTCTGGACTCAAGTGGACGGGCTAGGCGGACATAGGACCAATAAGAACGCTAGGCTGCTCATACCGGTCGAAAGTCATTGGTTTGGCACAGTGCTAAGATTGTATAAGCCATATTTTGATTGGTGGATAAATCACGTGATAAAAAGCCGGACATAAAGTCATAACACATGGGACTGTGTTGAATATAAGATTGTTCAAGGAAATAAACTATACACATACTTCCTGTAATTTCACTTAAATCTGTCTTCTACAGTTGACGATCATCCACTTTAGTTGTTTTACAGACATTCATGAAGCTTATGTCTTCATGGATGAGATCATGTAAGAAGCTATCAAGTTTATCACTTGATGCTATATATCTTTCCGGTCATCAAGAAACTGGTTTTATACTTCAATTTCATCTAGTCTAGGACGGTTGAAGTGCTTATTCCAACTTTCCAGTTGTTTAGCGCTCACAATCTCGTCAGCCAATCTAATTTTATAGATTACTCTGAGCTTAACAGTAACATTGCTCCTTTTGTGGTTAACTATTCAACCAAGGATGTAAAACAGCTGTGATATTGTTCTATCTGTAATTATTTTGTGAATTTCTTCTTAAAAATGTAATAAAACTTCATTTCTGTGCTCTCAGTATACCGTACTAATTAAACTCCTTCATCACTACTATAAAGAGGAAAAGGGATGATAGATTTTTTTAAAAATTCCAGATCCATACTCAAAGTCTTATTCGTCTCTTTAATCTTGCTTCAGTCTCTCATACTATTAGGCAACAGCTAATGTTAAGGAGCGGTGGTCTAGTGATTACTGTGCTCCGTTTCCAGCCGTTAAGTTGTGTATTCGAGTTACGTTCGGCCTACTTTAGCTGAGTATTATTACTGGCTATCACAATATGACCCAAGACCTGTTGCATAAACCTGTATTTGATAATATAGCCACACAATAATAACCAAAGGTTTTCTAATAGATACGCTTGAGATTTCTCTCTAATGACTATGAACGTTGTTCCAAAGTATTTTACTCAGTTTAAGATTGCATCCAAGGCTGATGATAGTTCTTCATGTGCATCACGTGCCATAGCCAGCTCGTTTGGTATGCGTTTATTTAATCTCTGCCTAAAACTGCAAATTCAACCTCAAAACAACCAATATATCGACAGTTAAGAAGTATTTGAGAAATACAGACAACGAGAAATGTATAGTCCCTCGTCTTTCGCTTTTATCATTCTATCTTACAATCATGGAGTATATTAGCTCATGTGATGGGAAATATGGATGGCTTGTCAACATCAAACACGTAAATTTTTGACATCCGTTATAGATGACAATTATCGTTATTGATATGTATTCTTCAATATTCTTTACATGTACAAACGAGCTTTGATATAGTAACCTATAACAGATATATGATGAAACGAAATTTCGTTTGATTTGACGCTAAATCTTCATACTTTGTGTGTACTTTCGACTGTTTTAGAGATGATCGATTCCACAAAATGCTTGCTCAACGTGGTTCTACGCCATTAGATTTATTCAAGTTCTATGTTGAAGCATTAAGAGCCCGTTTCCCAGCTGAAAAGAAGATTATCAAAGAGATTTTAAAATACAATTGTACACCAATCGACTTGTCTGTTTCATACGAAGATTTTTGTTCGGTAAGTTTATTGTTTTCTGTAGTGAATCTCTACAATATAACAGTTTAAAGTGTTATCATAAGGTGTTAGCATTATTACGATTTTGTGTAATGTTAGCTGAAATTTAACCTAATGTATTTGTTATCTTTTCAACTTATGATACTTTACTTCAGTGTCATAATGATATATTCTTGTGGAGGGGGATTCCAATTTTTATTATGAAGCCGTTTCGCTTGTTAAAACAATGAGGAGGATATTAATCACTAAATGAAACGCAATGTTGCAGTGTATGCCGAGTGATGGCTGTTCACCAGATTGGGTTGTTGATTTAAATAATATCAAAAGACAAGCCAATAGAATAAGTTTGTTTCCTAGGAAATTAACGTATAATGTACAAGATGTTAAATACAAAAATAAACATGATTAAATATCATAAGCAAATGCAAAATACTAGTTTTGTGATTTGCCCACACTTTAGTAAAACTAAGATCGGGTTATCAGGTTTAATCATTGCTAGTTTTACGATTTTTCACTCATTTCTGTGTTGATTTTTTTGTTTCTGTTGCAAAGCATGGATACTTGGATTAATGATGTTATTTGTCTAACAAACCATTTTGATCTAGCTTCACATTTTCATCAACGAATTCATCTTTTAGTGAATTAAACTGTAAATCGTATACCCACTAGTGTTTCATTTAGAGTTTAATTATGTTGTCTGTTTTTAACTTGTTTGTTTATTTTTACTAGAATAAGAAAATTGTTTTCTGGTCATTTAATTTGTGTTTTGACATCACTTTATTGAGGTGCGGGGCGTTTTGATTAATAATCTGGTTCTTTACGTTGTTATTAGTCAACTGGATCGTATGAATGAAATCGCGTGAAAAATAAAATCCCGTGAAAACGAAATCTTCAGTGAACTGTAGTTTGTCTTTTTTTCTCTCCTAATATGTGCTTGAATGCGCAACATGTTTTATTAACATAAACCTGTATGTCATGTTTCCACACTGGTCCATGTTGTTACATAGTTCATGTTTAAAAACAGTGATTCCTTGTCAGTAAAGTGCAAAGTCCATAATTTCCTCTGCGGAACTCAAAAATTAACAAAATGAATTTGGTTGGTTATAAACCAACTGCATTTTGTAAATATAAAATGTTCAATATCGTTGAATCATACTAATTGGTAATTATTTTATATCGAAATAACAATGGAGTTCTACATTTTAATATTAAGTTTTGGGATATTTTTCAGATAATAGGCTCTGATGAACGCAGCAAAGGAATAGATGACGGAAATATGCGTATGACATATGATGGTCTACTAGAAAAAGCTCAAGGTCGTGAACGTGAACGCCAAAAAGACGATGCTAGGCGTATGAGAAAACTTGAACAAAACTTCTGTGAAATGCTTACAAATTCCTCCTTCATTCAGTCCAATACTAGTTGGGAAGAAGTTCGAGAAAAATTAAGTGACCATCCTGCCTTCAAAGTAAATTTCCCATTTCTCTCTTGTATTTTAATCTCAATGTCAGTTGGTTTTTGGCTTATTAGTTTGTTTAGTAGCCTTTCATGATTAGATTCTAAATAAATTGATTTAACTTTATAAGCACAGATGCATGATGGTTAACAGTAGGGTCCAGGACTCGCGTCTCGTCCAATATGGGACTCGTCAGCTGGATGTACTTGCATCTCAGAGTTGATGTCCACTCCGGGACTCGAATCCAGTACTGTTCGCCTCAAACGCCATCACCTTATCCACTTAGCTACTGAGTCCAGATAGCCACTAGGTTGTGCAATGAGGTAACATTTTAATTCATTTTTGTATTGGTTGTTTGAATCTTCCCATTGGTGTTTAGGACTGCAATTGATCAGTCATATCTCTGCTTATAGGCAATCCGCACAGGATGCACATATACCAAACTGTTTTGACTGATACATTTAGTCAATTTTGAATATTTTGTCTGTGGAAATCAAACTTCGAAAACTATCATTGTCGTTGGTTTATATTGTCATTTTCATTTCTTAGGTTTTAATTACATTCCACCTCGATTTAAACATTTTATTGTACCACGTTACTCTTTATCTGCTCGAATATTCAAGCTGTTGAGATTTCTATCTTCAGTTTCTTAATAAGAACAACACTTTTGTGTTTCGGTTTATTTCGTTCTTATGTAACCATATTTAACTGGTGTATTATTATTATTATTATTACCAACGAACGTAATGCTGATCATTATTTTAAAAAATAAGTATCCTTTTGAAATGGTAGGGCTCTGAAAATAAATTCACCGAGAAGACTGCAGTGAACCAATCTTTCTTGTCCAGGATCCTGTTTACGCTCTGCTTTTATAATTTATGTGTTTACTTCTTACAGTTATGAATTGGTAAGACATTTCGAGAAATCTTAAGTTTAATGGTATTGTAGAGACGTCTTGAACATTTTTTCATTATGTACGTTTCTAGAATTTTATTGCCTTACGATCAACAACCAAATTTTTCAGTTGTTGTTATAGTTACCACTGAGTTGACAATTAATAAATAAATTATATGATTTCCTTTTCATCTTCACTGCCAACTGAATTACCATTTATCGCACGTATTCGATGTGTTCACAGTTAGTGGAATAGTAATAACCTAGTGGTTAAAACTCAACTTTTAGCCAATAGGTCTCAAGTTTTAATCACTATAGAACTTTTTATTATTGATAGTGATTATAAATATGTACAGTTCCTTTGGATTTTTAGTATACTACCTATAATTCATCTGTTTTGTTTTGATGACACTTGTCACGATTAATGACATATTAATGTCATGAGGTGTCCTGGCATCGCCACTATTCCCTAATTATCACTCTTTATTCTCTGATTGCTTTCTCAATTAGTTGTTTGCTCACTTTTTCGACCAATTATTTCAGTTGTGAAGCGTTCGTTCTTCCTCACAATTCATTATTTCAATGGATATTTATTTTAGGGTTTGTCGTTGGAATCAGAAAGGATTCGACTCTTTAAAGAGTATATTATTTCAATTGACAACTCAAACGAAGACTCTCATCGGTCTCGTAAAGATAAACACCTATGCGAAAGGTTGGTTTTTAAAGCATTTCTATAGGAGTTTTTATGGTTTAGTCAACCCTTTTGCATTAGTGTATCAATTCCTCACTTATTTTTGAGGTTTCCTGTATAACATGGGAACTTTATTCCTTTTCTCTCTTAATTAATTTCATGGGGGTAGGCTGATTAACTTACAGACAACCGAATTGCTTACTAATATCAATTATGGAGATATTAAGAAATCATTGTAATCTGGCACATACAGCATCCATATCCTTGTTTTAAAATTTTTCGAAATCTAAATTTAGAACCTTCATTTAGATTGTGCTCGACAGTGGCATCTAGTTGCTTCTGTTGCCCTATTATGGACGCGTTAACCGGATGTATCTGTATTCCACTATTGGCGTCCATACTGAAGCTTGAACCTCAATGCCTGTCGCTTCAAACACTGACTCATTCATTGAGCTACTTAGTCTTGATAGAGCCATTAACTTGTGCAACGCGTACATAGGTAGTCTTTCTTTGTTTATATTCCAGACTTCACATGTCTGTACCAAGGTAATCCTCCTAAGTTGAACATTTGAAAGCAAAAACTGATCAGTTATAGTCTCTGTATATCAACAACGGGAAATTATGAATCCTTAATAATTCATTTTATATTTTGTAGTGAGTACATGCCACTAAGGACACGATATCAAATCTAGGGGGACTAGATAGATCAAAAAGCAAGCCAAGAAAACAATTCTAAACAAGGAATCAAAGTAATGATGGGCGTCAATACATAAGATACGTCAACCTTAAGTATGGGAACGGAAATGTTTACTCCTCTTCATATGAATAAAATGTAGACATTAATGTAGAGAGAAAATTAATGGTCAATCTTAGCAGTAGTGATTATACAATTACGAGAAAAATAAAGACATTTTGGCGAGACGTTTACGCTACGAAGGACCATGAACGACAATGACGTTGTTTTGTAAATTTCCAAAAATAAATTAATTCAAATAAAAAGGAAACATATTCACCTTTTATAACTGACAAATACACTTTAAAGCGGCGCTTGTTTTATTTTTCTAAGCTAGCAATTGCTTCGGTTAAACAAATGATGATTAAACTGCAGTAAGTAACAAACTATCACATCATCTTTACAATAGATATATTTCTGTTCAGAAATATCACCGTTGTAAGTAATTTTTCTGACTATGAACTTTGCCTTTTTAATTAGTGGTATATAGTTGGTAATTTATCAACATATGTATTTACCTACGTGTAGGTCTGCTTCTATTCAAGATGTTGAAAAAGATGTCGATGCAGTGAAAGATCAGAAAAAGAAACAAACTGTTTCCCCTTCCCCAGCTCCTTCAGAACATAGTCATACTCGTAGGTCGGACGACGAAAGGGGATCATCACAGAAACGTAAACATCGTAAATCAAAGAAATCAAAACATCGCAAATCAAAGCACCATAAGCATCACAAAAATACAGATAAGCGTCAAGATGAAGAATTAGAAGAAGGAGAAGCTGCTGATGACGATGACGAGGATGATGAAGCTGTGAATCCTCAAACAAGTGATCGTGCCAATCCCCTCAGTGGTAGTAAACGTCATCGTCATCACCGACGTGGCCAACGCTCTCGGACCTCTGACCCTGAGGATGGTGAAGAGGTGGACAGTACTAGTGATGGAGAATTTTATGACCGTGATTCAAAGCGTAAAAGACGTTAGCATTGTAAAACGGTCTTATATAATTTTTTTGGTTGTGTACATAATAGCATATCATTCTGTTAGATGGTTTTTGTCGTTTCTGACATTGGAAAGTTTTTATTGGTCCATTTCAGCATCTCAGGTCTGCTGGTATCGCTATACTTCGTGTAAACCTTATTTGTTCTTTGGTAATTCACTTTAAAAAGTTTCTCTCTATATCTCTTCTATCTAAGTAACTATTCTAAGCAAATCTGGCTATTCGTGGTAGTTAAATTCGGATTCTTGTTTGGATTAGAAGTGATTTTGGGATGATGGTCGGTTACGTTATTTGCTTGTAATTTACAGGATGAATGTCTTACGACTAGTTAGTAAGGACGGTTGGCGTTTTCTGTTCAACTAAAGGTCTTAAACTATTCCGTTGCCTTTTCTTTGTGACTTCTTCCTAGGATTTTAATCAACAAGTGTGGATTAAGAAACTGTCGAGCGGTATATATTATTATTTTGTTATTGGTAATAATTTTATCACGAAGGTAGTTTGTGGTTCCAACTCAGTTTATCAACTGAGGTATAGGTTGTTTATTTTCTGATGACCCCATCTGTTTTGGAAGTGTTTATTTTTATTGTGCTGATTGGACAAATAAATATGTAGAGTTCAGGTTATACTGTAGTTCGCCTTTAGTTTATTGCTATCGGATTATTTAGCTGCCAAAGTGTTCTCAACTGAATAATATAATTTTTCGTGTTGTCCTGTTAGACACTCAGTGCGTATACTTGTAATTATAGCACATCTGTGAATACTGGTTGTTTAATACGTCAATAATAATAAGTCTTGCACTTCTGCCTCGATAGTTGAGCATTATCAATACGGCACCTTTAAAAATTTGAGCTTCAGTCAACCGCTACCTGTGTAAGAGCTTTTGGGAAAATGTTTTATTCATACAACTATTAATTTGGTTCAATACTTAGACTAACTTAAGTAACGTAGTTTTTAGTGGCCCTTTGATCTGACTCCATTTAGAGCGTATGGAAGATTTGCTATCGCTGATTCTCGTATATCATCGTCGACTTAAATCGCGTTATCCAATAACGGAATTAAATAAGTCGAATAACGAGGATTAACTTGAGAATACATATATTTCGTACATAAAGCGAATGAAGCATAGCAAGTCAAAAATGACACGTATGGAAGATGGCTGGGAAGCCAACTCCATTTTAGTCAAGTGTTACTCAATATTTATAGTCAGACAAAATAAAGCTACAGACATGTGATTAATGGAATAAGAAGGGCACACACATATACGCTCATATAAAAACAGTCTAGATTGATAAGCGAATAAATGAGAAGGTCAATGTATGGCTCAGAAAAAATGAATAGAATGGGATGTCTGGAAGCTCGAATAAGGTATATGGGCTTGGCATAATGACTGATACTACAAGTTTATGCTGAAAGTTCATCACTTCATCTTTTGTATTTAAACGTTTAATATAATTAGTTATATAGCTTTTATAAATGAACGGCTATTTTACATCAATAAACTACGATGGATGAGACACCAACTTTATTGTTGCATTTCAAATCACAAGATCATGAACCGAATTTTAGCCAGAATAGGTAACTGGATGAGTGCATCATCTCATTTATGCTTGTTAATTATCAAAACCGGTAATGAAATTTTCATAATACAGAACGTTTGCATTACTGGTAACAGGTTTTTGAGCCATAGTTTCGGATACGCTGGAAACATGAAATACGATCGCATTTAAGTTTTACGGGATGCGCCATTTGGTTGTTTAGATTTCGGTAGTTCAAACAGTTCATATACTAGTTCGAAACCTGAATATCTGTTGACGTGACCTGATACAATTATGAGTGTTCCTTTTGTAACATTTGTTTGTTTTTGCATTACGTGATACCACTGTGTCTTCCCAGATTTTGTTCTCCTGTTTATGCATTTTATCATCATAATGATGGAACAAACAGATAATCTGTTCAATTATGTTTCTTACACCCATCCCTCACCTTTCAACTCATATCATTCTTGCTCATTAGTATCGAAGACGAGTTTTTCCACACACAAGATGGGGATTAAAACCCTTTCGTTTCGGTGTTTATTCTTCCTTTCATCGATAGCAGAAACCAGATTATTGTGAGTAGGTTTTTATTTAGATTTTGAAATGGAACAGTTGGAGCGTAAGGTCATATAATATTTGAAAGTATCTGAATTATCGTATGAACTAGGAATCCCAGAATTAACGCAATCGAATCAAGAAGTACTAGACAAGCACGAACGGATGTATTGTATTTAGAATTCGAAATCAAGCATTCCACAAGTACAAAAAAATCATTAGTTAATTCAAACACCACAGGTCACCTTTTTTAAACACAAATTTTTTCAACATCCAATATAAAATAATAAGTATCTCCTGCCATAGAGATATCTGCTCGATCAATTTGTCAAGCAAAAACGTCATTTCAATTATATTAATATGTTCTGAAATAGCAAATTGTTACACGAAGCATGCCAGTTTTCACAGCCCGGTTGGGCATTGCTTACTGGTCTTTTGTTTAGCTCCCAATCGATGACAGTCAACACCCGGTCAGTATTCGGCGATACTCCATAGATGTAAAGTTTGTTGTCTCGTATTTATCTTCCACAAATTGTCGCACACGACTTGCTAAACACATCTTTATATGTGAACTGGAGCCTGTAAGAGAATGGAATGTAAGGAAGTGGAACACGAATATCTGAGGAAGTGTCGCTTAAGGGCTGCTCAACAACACATTGGTGAGGTACAGTTTTTCCATGCCATGTCCGACTATTAGGAATTCATTCACCTGCCTCTTGGGTCACCCTCAAGTAAAAGGTAACGAAGAATCTATATTGATAAAAAATCCTTCAAGTTAGTCAAACAAGAGAAATTCCCCACTGATTGTATGGAATAATCAGATGCAAAATAGGTTGTCAAATTATGAACGCTAAAAGCTTGGTCCCGTATAAGTGTTTGGATTCCAGAACGGACTAAAGGGGATAGACACTGTGTAGACATCTTTGACACAAATGCATTAAAGCAGCAAGCTACTCTTTTTTTAAAAATACTTGTGTAAGCCTGTCGGCAGTTGGATTTACCACAAAACTCAATCAAATATATGACCTGGAGTCTGTAACGATCACCTTTTGTAACCTGGCTTGTGTCCGCCGACCAGAAAAAAATAGAACGTAAGATTTGGAAAAAGACAATAGCAGTCTTCGGTCGAATAGACTTTTTAGGGTCAACGCTATTATCATAACCTTACAGACGAACCGTTCGGATGGCTTGGTGATAATGTACATATTATTCTGTGACCACACGATGCCTAAGATGAGACTCATTAATCCGCTCGGGCTCTATGAATGCTTATGCGGGCCTTTCGATTAAAAGAATATTACACAAAATCTTCAGCGATTCAATGGTAACGTATATAGTGGTCTCAACCACGTCCTCGCGTCCGGTATGACTGTGTAGGGCCAGTGAAATGTCACTAAGCCCTAGCCAAATCATCCGGCAGTTGGATCACTGAATGTCGAACAGATCGTCGCTCCCTGCCAAGGTCATGTACTACAAACGCGCATTAGTTAATCATACGCCATGGACTGGCCCATGCGGCAGTGGTCTTACTTTCGTCTGTATCTACCTTAACTAATATATTTCTGTAATAACGTCCTTTGTGTTGTACAGTCTTCAAAGCATCTATAGTACCTTGTTACGTCAATGGGGGTAGTCCACGTAAGGTGCTGACCACGAGGTGTGACTTCGACGTTAGTTGGTTCGTCACACCATTCACGTCTAACTGGAGTAGGCCTCCAATCATTTCGACATAGATCATCTACGTTGGTGATCTACAACTGCTTAAACCCAAGTCCGGACGGAGAATCTCATCGTCAGTATCTGAACTTTGTTTATGGCTCTGAAAACATAACATTACGTAGTCATTCAAAAATGTTGAACCGGAACCCACTGTTCAGACTTTCACCAGGACATTTCTGGCACTCAAAGCATTCGCTCTCTGTAAAGGGATTTGTTTACCATCCTGAACGACTCCGAGCCGACCACAGTCAAGCGGCTAGTCACGTTTAAGAGCGTAGTAATTTTCCATTGACGGCACATAACAAATCACGTGTTTTTCATAATAATAATAATAATAATAATAATACACTTCTGACCGGGCAGGTGCACGCCTTTTTACATTCATGATCAATAAACCGTAAAGTTGGTTTGCAGGTACGATCTTTCTCAAGCAGGGTTGTTAAACAAATAAAATAAATGACAGAGAAGACATACTGGTGAGTAGAAAATAAGGTTTATTCGCTAGTAGTGTACAATAAGTACAGTTCTCACAATCCGTTTCAAGAACGAGAATGTTGTGACTAGAAGAAGTGTAAAGCAGATTCGGAATTCACGTGTAGGAATGGTGTTACTGTTAAGTGCTCATGCTATATAACTGTTTGAGAAGTCCATAGTTTTTATAATGCAATTATTTGGGGTTATTGGTATCATATATAACCTCGAAAAATGCATGCAAAAAGGTTTGTCTCAAGTTTGTTCTAGGCACAAGAAGTTCCATATTTGTACATTGACATAATAATACCGAAAAATACAATGAAGCAGGAAAACATTTAGACGTAAACCTTAAACAGTGCTCAACGGTTTTTAGTAGAGCAGACAAATTATGGTGATTTCCAGCCTCCCAACTTTAGGGAAGCCACACTATAAAATATTGCGGTATTGCTACAAAAATCTTTCCGGTTTAGGAATCTTCGAGACTTCAGGTTATTCTGAGGAAATGCCGAAAGTGTTTGTGCCTTCCACAATGTTTCCGAAAACTTTAAGGAAGCCCACCCACGTAAAACTCCAAAACTTTTCTGTTTTCAAGAAAGCATTGAGAGGCCCACAGAACTTACTATGTGTAGAATTGTGGTCTACTATATTAGTGCTGCTCTAATATATAGACCTAACCCTAAACTTGTAGATTTGTCGTGATATAACTGCTTAATCTATAAGATCTTATGTGGAAGTCACATCATCGACTACACCAACTCATTGTATCGTATCAATTACCAATACATGTTGTAGAACAAGCTTAGGCTAGAAATAGAACAATATATTTATGATGAATAAAAGATATAAGGTAACGTTCAGAGGGACCACGCCTGCATGGTCGAGTCATGCCATTCGATCAACTCCAATTCATTCAATACATTCTTCCCGCTTTCTCCATCGTTAGGTATCTCTCCGCGTTAAATATTAAGTATCTATTTTCCGAGTTGTCTCGTGTTCAGCTTTGAGGATTGTGTGGTTATGGTCCAATGCCACTACACATTCACGTCTTTATATTCGTCTGAGTCGGGATTGAGTTGTTGGTAAGTTTGTAGCATAGAAGTTAAACTCTCGTTAAAAGTTCCACAAGAAGAAAATGTTTACGTCGTTTATATAATAAATGTAATATCAAACAAATGGCTTATGTTATAGCAGTCATGGGACCTGAGAATCGACATTACCACAGTATAAATATAGTGTAGATTATGTACGCCATCTAGTGTAAAAATGTTGCTTACAGCGAGCACTTGCGAAGCCAGCTGGAAATGAAATAGACGGTGAATAATACTTTAAAAATTTAACATTTATCAGCAACTGATAAAAACAGATACAAATATCCAATAATAAAACTAAATTGCTTTAAGCTCAATTTTTCTTTGGGTCGCCATCCACGCTTATATACTTTACTTATTGCGTCGTGCAAGAAAGTCTGGCTCACAACCTTCAATGCTATTTTCTTTTTTGGACAGATAACACTCTTGAAACAGG